ATAAGTCATGCTGCCATCTACTTCCGGCTGGTCGAAATTGACCAGCCGGAAGTATGTCTGCTTGCCAGATGTTACAAGTCTCTCTTCTCTTTCCTCCTCTCCCCCTCAGCGGTACGTCATGTAACGTACAATATAGTGGGTCTCCACAAAGAGAGACTTGGAGCAAGTCTAAATTGCCAAAGGCAAAGGACGTGTGCCATTCCTTACGAAGTAGTTCTTCGATACGTTGGTTACCGGGTTTTAAAGCAAACCATTTGTCTGGCACAGTTAAATTAAGAGCGAAGGTCCACTAATATCGAGCATCAGCCGGTCACGCTCAAAGTTTCGATTTTGCTCATTTTTGGTTTACAGGAAGGCATTACCAAGTAAACAAACGTGATGTAGTTTGTTTTTCAAAAAACCGCTAAAATTCTGAGAAATCCGAGAAAAACGATTCAACTGTCGGCGGCCTAAAAAATATGCAAATTTTCAATTGAATCAAACAGGTTCAAAAACAACTAACGCATGCAGAATTGGAAAAGATATGAAAACTGTACGTTTGTAAGTCGTTGGAAGAGATGTTTGAGACTCGATTGAGTATAAAATCATGATATTAACTATTAATTAAAACCAGACAGCTGATATTTAGAATCGTATGGTATTTACACATAGCTAAAATTACAATCTACCGTTGCCACGCCAAAACCATTTTAACTAAGTGCCCCAGATTTTTTCTACACGAAACGTACGCCATTAACTAATCAAATGTTCTTCTAGAACATATAAAAAAATTAGTCTGGGTTATTGTATTTAGAGTTCGTACGGAGACCGTGAATATTGGGTATTTTCGACATATAGCGTGACTGAAATCTACAAGTGTTTTGTTCCTTCCGGAAGTTCCGGTCGCTATTTTCTCATAAATAGTTGCTATTTTCATCGGGAATTAAACCCGAAAATGCATTTCCTTAAGAATGGCTATTATTAGCAATTTACATGGTTTTAGCAGTCACATCATTCTTTATTTAAGACTAAGTAGATAGTGCTATGACCGAGATAATTTCTGTATATTTTATACCGATTACATGGAGAGTTTTTAGCCTGGGCTGAATTTCAGCCCGGTAAACCGAGCCGAAATAGCATCACGATTACATGGGCAGTTTGAACCTGGGCTGAGTTTTAGTCAGAGCAATATTTATTTATTCCTTGTAGTATTAAAACAAACCCAGGATGAAATGTCATCCCGGCCTGAAATCATACGATATCACGAAAGGCAATATTCCGCTTGTTTGAGCATTTAAAACGCCGATTAGTCGACTATTTGACTTGTGTATTAAAGACTGTGGTTGCATATAAAGTATTAAAGATGAGACGAAACGCAAAATAGAGCCATTTAATTTGCAATTACATGGGATATTTCATCCCGGTTGACAGAGCTGAAAATCTCATCCTGGGTGACATTTCAACCCGGCCTGAATTTCAGGCCTGTCAACCGGGATGAAATATTCCATGTAATCACAAATAATTTCAGTCCGGGCTAAAAAAACAATCGTTTAAGTGGCTTTATTTTGCATTTCGTTTGCACTTCGAAATTTGTTCCATGTAATCGTAAAAGTCATATTATATTGAATTTATAGGGGCCCCGGGCTGAAATTTCATCCCTGTTTGCCAGGCTGAAATTTCATCCCGGGCTGAAAACCTCCACGTAATCGGCCCCTTATTTTAACTAAAGACAAAACTTAGAACATTTTCACTAGGCTATAAAAGAAGGATGACTTCGAAATTATATTCAGTTTTTTTTAATTGTTAGTTTGAATGTGGTTTGGCTGAACATGCTCAGAGACAGAGAAATTGTATTCTCAAACTCATTAATAATTTATAAACCGAAAACAAAATAAATTAATGTTTAATCATGGGCGTACCGGAAGGAAAAAATTAGGGGGGCGGAAAGAAATTTGCCCGACTTTTTCGGATTGTGCCCGACCAATGGGGTCCAAAAATTTTTCGGACATACAAAAATTTTTCGGAACATCATACAAATTTTCAACACATCACAAAATTGACCACAAAATTGACGGAATTTCCCACAAAATTGACAGAATTTGTCCCATTTATTTTTATAATAAGCCAATATTGCCCGACTGTGGAGCGAATATTGCCCGACTGACTTCGTTTGCCCAACAAACTGGGGGGGGGGCTGCCGCCCCCTCCCCCCCGCCCGCCCGGTACGCCCATGTGTTTAATCAGTGTTTTGAAACTGGAAGAAAACTGTCTTCAAAGCAGGTGGAGGATTTGAAATCTCCCAGGGATCAGCGGGCCTGATTAAGTATTCATTTTCAAACTACTAGTAGTTTGAAATTTTTCAAGGTACTAGTAGTTTGAAATTTTTCAAGGTACTAGTATTTTTAAATTTTTCAAGGTACTAGGACACTGGAATTAATTTAAGGTAGAGAATATTGTTCTGCCATTAACAAAACTACAAAGCAAAATTAAACACACTTGAATCGTAAACACTTTTGTGGTGAAAAGTAAACTATCAGGTAAGAGCGCCGGTTTGTCTTGAGACAGCGATCGGGCGATGTAATTAACGTGTAAATTTCGTATCTGGAAAGTTTGATACTGCATGTCTAAAAATAGATCTTGGCAAGGTCTGGCCATCATGGATATAAAGTGCTCCTTTTTAGTGCAAAGTTTCACTTTGCACTATTGCTGTTAGGTGGCAAGGTGAGACGAGGCATGTATTCATACATCTATATATCTATCCTATCTATTCATACATACAGGCAGAGAGTAAACTTTCCGGGGGGAGTATACGATTTATGTTTGTAGTGATTTATTGTATTTAGTCAGTGCTTTGAAGGTTACTTAGGCAATTTCAGTTGTCTTATTTAAATAATCTTTTGTCCTTTTGCCAAGTTCACAAAAAATTTCGAGGAATCGTTGTCGTTATTGTAATTTTTATAACATTCGCTTCTCATGTTGTGTAAACGATCTTTACCCCGGAACACCCGATTTTTTCTTTAGCAGCGCAAATGCGCATGCGCTATCAAGCCGTAGATCACGATGGCGTGACGATGCTAGGAAGGAGCGACAGTGTTGTTTTCAAATGTATAATTATAACATTTCAGACGTGAATATTGAGTAAATCTTTGAGAATCTACGCAATATATAAACCGATGTTATGCATTACGGGCATTCAATCAAGTACCGATATTATTTAGGCGATATATTCATCAGTGGCGTGCTGGCAGGGGGGGGGCCGGGGGGCCACGGCCCCCCCAGCTGGCAATTTTTGAGGGGCGCAAAAATGAAAAGGGGGCGCCGATCCCGCGCCGAATTTTGAAAGTAGGTGGGAAGAAACGCATTCGTAGAAATATAGTCACTAATTCCGCCAAGGAAAGATGTGTTTATACACTTATAAACAGACTAAGCGCATAGGCGACAAAGTGAGTGAGTATATTAAATTGCAGACTATTTTGTCTAACCGTATTTGCTACCTCGCGACTCACACGAAATCACTCGTTCATATAGAAACATGATAAGTGATCACACGCAATGTCTCATTACCGGAATATTGATCAGGCTTCGAATTAAGCGATCACGGGAATCATGCATATGCGTGGGGTCCGTGTGTTATTGTATAAAAGAGCTGTAAGTTGTAAATGAATTCAGATCAGTAGAGAATAAAATTGGGATTAGATTAATTGCTGGAAGTAGTTAGCATTGCCCAATTTAAGTGCTACTACTAAATTCTAACCAATTTTCAAATTTCGACACGTTGTAATGCCGTTTCCTGACCATCAGATTTCTGTCAAAGTCCAGGAAATGGCATTTCAGAGACTCTAAATTCAAAAATTTTCCCGGGGGGCATGCCCCCGGACCACTCTAGACAAACCTCGCACCTGTGGCGCTCGGCTCATGCCTTCGGCCCTCGTTTATCAAGGGTAATATTATAGGGGCGCATATTAGTTGCCAGCCGACTGGCCCCCCCCAGAAAAATAGTACCCAGCACGCCACTGATATTCATTATACCAAGCTAGGAAGGAGCTAGACACTGCTTTTTCCAAATGTATAAACATTTCAGACGTAAATATTGAGAAAATTTTTGAGATTCTACCCAATATATAAATTGATTTTATGCATTACGGGCATTTAATATAATCAAGTGCCGATATTATTTTGATGGTATATTAATTATACAGAGTTAGCAGGGAGCGAGACAGTGTTGTTTACAAATGTATAATTATAAACATTTCAGACGTGAATATTCAGAAAATCTTTGAGATTCTACGCCCCGTTCTAAATATATAAATTGATGTTATATGCATTACCTGCATTCAATTAAGTGCCGATATTATTTAGGCGGTATATTCATTATACAGCGACTGTATAAGGTGCTACACCAGGGAATAGATGGCTACACTCAGTACACTAGTACACTGAAACCACAGAAGCCTGTAACACTCTGTAATATACTCCTATCACTGTGCTGAATTGCTGAAACCACACATACAGCACGTGCGTGTTTGGCTCTCTAAATATAGAAATGATTATTGAGTTCAGAGGTCAGTTTGGAAAAGACGGAGTGCGGAGTATGGATTGCGGAGTACGGAGTCTTTCAAAACATACTAGTTTATTTTTCCTAAAGATTCGATTTTAATGAGACTCCTCGTTTTCCACTTTATGGGGGCATAAGTAGAAAACGCGGAGTCTGTCAAAAAATTGTTTATTTTGCCCAAAGACCGGCTATATTTTAATGAGATTCCGCGTTTTCCACTTTATGCCCCCATTCCGCGTTTTCCACTTTATGCCCCTTGCAGTGTCTTTTCAATTTGAAACTTTGCACTCTCCTTGGATTCCTAGTTCGCAATTGTTGTTGGTTATTGTGGCCATGATACTAGAGTTAAAAACAAATCATCAGAATGCGTTCAGTTGTTAAGTTGTAATAATCATGATATTACAGGGCATAAATCGGAAAACATTAAGCAATTCGTAATATATCCTGCACATCGATCTACCCTTGGAGCAGGGTGGAAACAGGCAGAAAACGAGAAATGTAGAATTCCTGTGATTCTATCAAATATTTCTTTACCACTATTTCCATTGTTACTAGAAACGCGATGATAGAGACAACAGTCACGACAGGGAAATCGGGCAAAACACTGCCAAACAAATTTTTAGGTACTTTATTGACTTTGATTGGCAGCAATAAAAATAGTGTTAATGGTTCGCACGCAAATATTCCTAATTTTAAAAACTGCACTAATTTTGCGAGATATAAACAGAACCAAAAATATTGTGATTGTTCTATCAGGAGAGTAAATTTAATCGTACAGTACGGTGGCGCGCGATCGCCAATCGTGTCAGTTCTACTTGCTTCACCTGATGTTAGCTTCTTTAGAGACATTTCCTAAAAACGCTGTAACTGCTAAAACGCTGTGAGTTGCTAATAAAGGGTGCCTTTTTATTTTTAACGGCATTTTCGGGTTTAAATTCCGAATGAAAATATAAACGAATGAATAGCGACCGGAAGGAACAAACACTTGTCGATTTCAGTCACGCTATATGTCGAAAATACCCAATATTCACGGCCTCCGTACGAACTCTAAATACAATAACCCAAACTAATTTTTTTATATGTTTTAGAAGAACATGTAATTAGTTAATGACATAAGTTTCGTGAGGAAAAAATCTGGGGCACTTAGTTAAAATGTTTTTTGCGTGGCAACGGTACATCGTAATTTTCGCTATTTGTGAATACCATACGATTCTAAATATCAGCTGTCAGGTTTTAATTAATAGCTAAAATTATTACTTTATGCCAAATCAAGTCCCAAACATCTCTTCTATCGACTTACAAACGTATAGTTTTCACATCTTTTTCCTACTTTGCATGCGTTATTTGTTCTTGAACCTGTTTGATTCAACTGAAAATTTGCATATTCTTGAGGTCGCCGACAGCCGAACGGTTTTTCTCGGATTTCTCGGAATTTTAACGGTTTTTGAAAAACAAACCATATCACGTTTGTTTACTTTCTAATGCCTTCCAGCAAACCAAAAATGAGCAAAATCGAAATTTTGAATGTGTCCGCGAATTCTCGATTTTGCTCCATTTTAGTGGACATCTGCTCTTAAATAAGTCAACATAATTTACATTTTCACAGGAAGTTGTTTCGCGAATATTTTTCCATACATTAAGCAGTCTAAGCAGTGGCCATGGAATCTCCACACAAAAGAGAATCTTGTTAAATAAGTCCACTTGTTGCCTAACATAAGTAAGAGGAGCTTCAGAACTTACTTTCAATTTCCAATCTAACTTTCTTTTGCTGTATTCTTCGAGCACTTCCGACATTTTGACTTAACCGCGAAAGAGATTTTAAATAACCCGCGAAATATCCGCACGCAAATTGCTATATCAACACGAAATCGAGCTACAAAATCTCGCAAATCTCTCTGTTTTTCTTAAGTGAGGGACTGGGTCCAACTTTGCTAGTAAACAAGAAACATGGCTGCTCGAAGGAGCCTAAATTTGTATTTAGACTTGTCGTTTTCGACTATAAATATAACCTAATGGCGATAAGCAAGACTCATAAAAAGGCAAAGTTTTAAACGATTTTGGAACCGGTTTGGCGCAGAATAACCTGGGATATGTTAAGCTATACTGACAGTTTGAACATCGCTAATTGACGCTAAATACATCGCGAAGTCCGCAGTTTACATCGCGCGAAAGAATGTTGGTCTATTCGGCGGAGTTTTACCTCATGTATGGCAAGATTACTATAGATTACACTATCAAATACTTCGAATTTCTAGTGAAAATACACCGATCACGGGAACCAGACGTGTAGAAATGCTAGCGATTTTGGTTTACAAATACTGCTTGTTCGTGCTGTTGTTATTATCGAAGTCCGCAACCATGAGATATCTAAACAAAGTAGGTTAAAATTTGACATTTTTGTAAATCCCTGTATAGTTTATAGTAATATTTAGTCGCCATATTGGGGCAATGTGCGCATGTCTGTCTCCATCTTGTCCCATATTTCTGCTAATGGGACATGACAACAGAATGTTTAATTTTGCGATATCCGTGTTAATATTACAGCAACTGCCTGCCTTTCACATTTTCTGTGGTTTCAAAGTGCGTAACAACAGTTTAATAAGAGGAGCAGTGCCGGATTAACCATATGGCATGAGAATTAAGCGGCATATGGCGCGGGCCCCGCGGTTTTGGGCCCGGCCCACGCTTACTCTCTTCTATTTCCCTCCGAATTTTTTTTTCTTGTTTCAGCGCGGGGCCCAAACAGTGCGCCAGTGCGGGGCCCCAAAGAGCCCAAGTCCCCCAGAAAATGCAAGGCCCCAAAAAGCAGGGTCCCAAATGTTTTTTTTTGTTCTCTGTTTCAGCGCAGAGCCCAAACAGCGCGGGGCTCCAAAGAGCCCTAGGTCCCCAGAAGACGTCAGGCCCCAAAATCAGTAAAAATCGAGGCCCCAAAGAGCGGGGCCCCAAACGGTTTTTTTGTTCTATGTTTCAACGTGGAGCCGCTGGAGATTAATGGCATATATACAGGCTCATTGTGGCGAACAATCAGGAAACTGTACTTCCAAATACTGTGACTTGTATTCCGCATTTATCTGAGTCTGATGATTTCTTATCGCCGCCGCGTAAATGCTGATTTCCACTGTTGCGTTTTCATACGTACTACATATACGTACGTAAAACTTTAAATCCGTTTTTACGTTTAAATGTTACTTATGAAATAACCAAATTAAAAATCAACAGCATTTAGTGTTCCGCAAGTTTTAGTAGTATGCATCAATTTGTTAACTTATTTGTAAAATATTTAAAAAAAATAGTAGGATTCAAAGTTGTACGTGCATGTACGTGCGTACGAAAAACGCAACAGCGGAAATCAGCCTTAAACATGATGTACACAAGAGTTGATTTCAGTGCAGTTAATCGCAAACAGCAGTGCAATTTTCTGACTACAAAATAGTGATTAAAAAAGTGATTAAGAGTTTTATACAACCGGCCCCAGGCCCTAATTTGAAATAGGGCCTGACACAAAACCTGTCTAGACCGTGGGACGCCCACATGTTATTTTTAGATACACATGCAATATGATTGACAAGTGTTGTAGATTTCGTTACACAAAAAAATTATTTTCTCATGAACATGTCCGCAGAGCATTTTGCTTTTTAATTAAACTTAAAAATTCAAGGTACTTTTATATAATTAAGAGTCAGTTTCTCTATTTAACCGAACAGGCGAACAGCAAACAAAGATTTAATTAGTCAGTTCTGTGCACGGCTTGACTGCCAAGCTTTCTCAAGGTCTCAACTTGCTGGACGCGGATATACTCTAACGACTAACGGGCTAATAACAGCAACAATTAAATTCTCAATCATACCACGAAGAAGGCGATGTAGCTCAGAAAACAATTACGCCGGTAGGACCTGATATTAAAAATAAGACTTTTGCCGGTGAAGCAAGTTGGCAGAACATCTTGGCTGTCAACAACAAGCTTTCGAATACACGACTAGTTTGGCTGTTCTTTCAGCGTCGTGTGTGTCCAAATTCGTCAAAGATTTTGATGAAGCCCTTTCATAATACTGTTTGTTTGATTTATTTTCTGCCATAAAGCATAAAAGAAAAGAAATTTGAAGAAATCGATAATGGAATTTGTTACGTGCGTTTGACCTTTATATTAATTCTCGCCTTGACCGAGCTATTTTTAAAACTGTTGTTTATCTGAACTTGCAACCAATCAAAATCCTTCATGATGCTGATCAACCAATCAGATTTCCCGTCCACCAGGTGGATGGGAATCCCACACTTTAGATAGGTTTTGTGTCAGGCCCTATTCGGTGATAGGGCCTGAACTTCAGGTTACTCAAAACGCCACGTTAGTGACATGAAGAGTTGTCATATACACAATGCCAAGTAAATATTGGAAACAATTTGCAGAATGTAGCTGATATTTTAATGTTTTAAAATTTTGTACCCAGCTTGTGACGTCATTATTTGCATATCAAACACATTGAAATATGTCAAAAACGAAGAAAGATACGAAAGATTTGCAATGTATGTTCCATTACCATTTGACGAGCTCTTTCAAATGAAAGAAACTTTTACTGGAAGTAATTTTTGTTGCTCATACCCTTTACACAAGACTAACAAAACCTACAGAGTAGAATTTCCAAGCCGGTTGGCGTTGTATAATGTGATACTGACAAAGCCAGGAAAACTTTGCCAGTGGAATGTTCGCTATAAACGTATATAAAGTTAAAACTACAATTGTCTCGAACATTTTATGTAAATTATTAATAAGTAATAGCATGGTTTCTCGTGAAATTTGGATAAACATGCACTCGTGAGTTTTTCAAAGACCTCAAATAGCACTCGTCCTTCGGACTTGTGCTATTCTGAGGTCTTTGAAAAACTCACTCGTGCATGTTAATATATTCAAATTGCACTCGAAACCATACTATTACCTATACTAATGTTTTGACCGCAGTTGAACCCCCGTTCGAAAGGTTATTTTGTGTGGATTTCAATGGTGGTGTTCGTTTTAAAGCGTGGTAAATACTCGCCGAGATTTTTACATTAGAACCATTGACTCGTATTTTGTGCAAGAAAGTGCAAGAAATGCTAACGTTATTGCTAATTCACGTCGCGATTAACTTCCGGTTTGATTCCATGTTGTCAAAAACCGCGTTACAGCGAACACTTCGGAAATCTTCCAATATTTAAACGTCGAATGTAATCAAAGCAGTTTTATTATAATGACACATCATCCTGGATTAGGTAAATATATCCATCCTATTGGACTCTCCCTGCTTGTGTGGTTAAGCCATACACTAAATTATACTAGTTATCTATGAATTTAGATTAATTGATACTTGTTAATAAGCAACAAGGCAACAGTATACTGTATAAGTAGGCCTATATTAGTAACTGCATAGTTAGTTTTCCCGTTAGTCATGGTAATCCTGTACAGCAACAGTAATTTGGTCCACAACCACGAGAATTGCAAGTCTTGTAACGGTAAATTGTTAAGCCAACTTTGTTTACATCTGTATCCGCCTTTTTATTGTCAGCTAGAGATGGACGGTTCTTGTAAATATGAAGTGATTCCACGCATGATGAATGAAGCAGTCTAGAAAGTGAGTAAAAATGGTATAATTAAATGCTCAGTAACATCTTCTTAAAACCAATTACTTAAAACTCACGTACAATTCATGCAGTAACTGTTTAATTCAAATTGTCGGCATAAAAAAATCTATATCTTGTAACTGGTAGATATGTTACCGAGGCTCATTAAACCTGTTCTGAAATGGACCTCACAACATTAGCCTAACAGAATCGAACAATTTTCAAACCATGTTGTATCAGACGACTAGACAATCGAATGCGATTTTTTGTTACAAGCGGCCAACTGGCATTTTCTGAAAGCTTATACACATTGGTGAAGAAGACAATATATGTTGGCAACTCTGATTTTGGCTTTATAGCCGACAATTTGATAATTCTAAAATTTGGCCTATTAAAGTACCATCTTAATGAAAATTTACTGTTCACAAAAATAAACTATACCATTAGAAAGCTCGAGTAAACGAGCTTAAAGTTAGCAAAATATTTAAGTCGTATATAGGAATGCTCGCTCAAAATTATTTATAATTATTATAAAAATAATTCGAGCGTCCTTTCCCAAATGATGAACTCAGGAAAACTCGTGCCTTAATGCTAAATTTACTTTGAGATTTTTTAAAACTTTTATTCCAACTTGTCGTAAAGAATTTTTATGAAGTAATAAATCCGTGGAAAATTCGCAGAAAACGCATTACGTCAAAAAAGTTTCAGCGTAGTCATGAACACCTAACAATACTAAATTTCAGCATTGTTAATTAAATTATAATAGTAACAATGAAATAAGCTCTTTTTAATAGAGAATCTTTTTTGTTGCCATGGAAACATAAGTATCATAATATACTTGAACAAGGTAAACCATCCACCTGTAAAAGTTTCGTTGGAATACACCTAATGGTTATTATTTCATAATTGAGTCGGTTTTCTTTGAAGTTCCGCGGGCTGTATATTTAACATAAATATCGGTCATTAGGCCAACCGTCTAAAAGCACGGGGAGGGTTTTGATATTCAGCAGGAAAGAGCGGGGAAATATTGGGCTGTATCTAAATACAGCCCACTGTTCTAGTATTGAACCTGGATACAGGCCATGAATTGATAATCAATTGAACTTACACTACAACCATTTCGATTAACATTTCTAATACTATTTCACACAAACGTATTGAAAATATATTTCAAAGTTCAAGTTGTTAAATACAACATTCATTTCTCACCATTTACATATGTCCATTTACCGCTTCTGTCTACATTTTAAACTCCTTGTTAATAAAAAACGTGCAATTATTGAGATTCATACACTTTTCAACATTCTCACTCTTTACTGCGCTATCACCTTCGCTCTTGTTAACTTCGCTTCCTAATTCCTCTTCAGACTTCCCAACACTCGCTATTAGTTGTACTGGTTGTCGCCAAAGACGTGTGCATCATACCAACTTGATCGAACGCTTTTGATATTTCTACTCTGTACTCAATATGCTAGGTCTCTGATACTGCTGTAACGACCTTTCGTCTCTATGACCTGTTTTTTCCATAATTAAAGGGAAATGGCAATATATTTTTTTTATTTTCTCATTTGAAAGAACATTTGAAACTATATAATAATATTAACTTCTTTTACCGTTTTTTCATATCTTGCTTACTTTTAATATTTTTATCTAGACAACCACTAATCATTTTGCGCTCAAAACTATCTCTGTCTGCCCTTGGAAAAATCAAGATCACTCAAAACCTTTAAAACATCTACCAGTCAATATTCGATCAGCAACGAGTACTTTTATATGGTTAATCCCTGCTGTGACGTCACCAAAACTGCCGTTAATGAGATCAAAAATTTATCCAAGATGACAGACATCGGATTACTCCAAGTGCAAATATTTCAAGAACTAAGCAAGATACGAAAAAGCGGTAAACTGCAGACTCTGAATTCACAGACTTTGCTTTTCGGATATTTCTATTTTGTTTATGTTTTTATCTAGTCTCTTTCGGACGATTATTTTTTCAAAAATATATATTTTTAACCGTTTTAAATTTTAACATTGGATATAGCGGGGCTGTTCTATGGAATAGTTTACCTACGCAAGCAAAGCAAACAGAATCTTTAAGTAGCTTCAAAAATTTGATAAAATAATGTGTGAACAGAGTCAGGCATCGAATAGTCTTGGTTTTTTAACTTTTTTATCTACGCATTTGTTATTCTGTGTTATTCTATTTCATATCTAATTTATATTACTGAGTTTTTAGAATGTAATTTGTGTGACGCCCCTCATGAAAATCATCCATGGGTGATGAGGGAAGCGTGGTTAAATAAAAAGTTCTACTATACTATACTATACTATAAAACTACGAAGCTTGATATAAAAATCCCAAAGGGGAGAGCAGTAATCGACGTAAGGCTGTATCACAGCATTATAAATTGATATATATCAATGTGTTTGCAGGAACATAGAGCTTGATACGCTTCAAAAATTTGATAAAATAATGTTTGCACCAGAGTCAGACATCGAATAGTCTTGGTTTTTTAACTTTTTTATCTACGTATTTGTTATTCTGTGTTATTCTATTTCATATCTAATTTATATTAGTTTTTAGAATGTAATTTGTGTGACGCCCCTCATGAAAATCATCCATGGGTGATGTAAGGGAAGCGTGGTTAAATAAAGTTCTACTATACTATACTATACTATACTATACAACTACGAAGCTTGATATAAAAATCTCAAAAGGGAGAGCAGTAATCGACGTAAGGCTGTATCACAGCATTATAAATTGATATAAATGTGTTTGCAGGAACATAGAGCTTGATACCTTTAAAATTCCTATGCCCTCTCCAACTGTTTTGCAAACCATTTCAATAATTATGTTCATCCAATGATCCAAATTCAATGTTTCATCAAGTTTAACTCCCAAACACGTGATTGAGTGCACTCTGGGAAACAGTTGATCATTAAATTTTACGGCAAACTCATTGTCAATTTTAGCAAAGTTATGATTTGATCCAACATATTTTAATTTGGTTTTGTTGAATGATGCTGCAGTTTGTTTTTGACCAGCCATTAATTAACTAACATTGTTTAAATCATGATTTAATAAGCATTAAGTTCTACGCAGTCTTGTGCAACCTGATTTTAGTTATGTACAGTTAGTATCAATTCTTACTTTGAGGGATCCCAAATTTGAGCTTGTCGTCTGATGGTGTATGATGTACAGATCTCTTTACAGGATGCGAAACTCCCACATTTTCGACGCACAGCAAAGTATAGGCCTCTTTTACTTCCCATGGCAACACATGCACTGGTTGCCATTTCATCAAAGTAATTCTCAAAATACGATTTGAAACTGCGTTTCTTTCTCTCAATCACTGTAAAAAGGAGAAAATTATCAATATGGTTAATCTATCTGCGATGCACCCAGAAATCCTATAGGATAAACGGTAACTATATATACGTGCAGTATGAAACAACTTACGCTTCCCTTTCCGTTAGAAAACTGCATGTAGGGTATAATCTTAAATGTTAATTTCATTCGTTTTTAAACAAAAAGATGTACTTTGTTTATCTTAACTCGTTTCAATTCATAATCTTTACATGCTGCCCATATCACACAGTTGCCTATATTTATGAACTGTGCCTGTGGCTCAGAGACATTGTGCAAGCAGTCTAGAAGTTTATAGAATGAAAGCTGTACATTAACTGGCTTTGTTTGTCTATGACAGTTTAATTTTTCTTACGAATTTGGCGTACAACGGCACACGTTTCATCGCTTTGTTTATTGTTTTTTGGCCGTGCAATTAATTCTGCAACTCAACTACCTGAAAAATGTAAGGGGAAATTGCTTCTAATAACACTTCTAAAATTGCATCTATTAATAAAGTTGCAATTTTCCAAATGCGACAAACAAACACCTCTATACTACAATAACCCCTCCTTCAGATCAATTTCAATTTATCACGCAAAATCTGCGTGACACGTGACCAGGGAAAAGCCTGGGAACGAGGTTGCGTCTGAGTCTACATATACTATATCTAAAGTTGTGCTTAAAGAGTACGAGAAGGCAAAGTACCTTACACTTAACAAATCGTCCAGCATCGAAATCTCGTAAACTGAACCAGGCAAGATACACCTTCAGCTGAGGGGTTACCGAACACACAATTTGTGAATTTCCCAGGGGACGGAATGTTGACCTTACAGCGCTTTTCTTCTGGCATAAAGTGTCAACGCGTTCGCACACGAACGAATCATTCTGATTGGCTGTTTGCTGTTGGATTCTATAATTAGATCAGTGATTCATCACAAAGGCTCTAAATAAGCTTAACTTAAAATTGGATCTGATCACTTTCTTCGATTAAAAATGGAACAAGAACAGACTGTTTATTGTCTACTTGAAGGAAGAGATGTTTTTGTCGTTATGCCAACGAGGATTGCTTGTCGTGAACTGTTGGAATATCATCATTACCACTTGGGTAAACTATGCATGGTAACCTTTACTTGAGTTTGATTAATTTCAAACAGATTTGATACGTTTAAATATGTTCCTCAAGAAAATTATTTTTTGGTTGATGTTGACTCTGTTCTTGCATTGAAGAAAACAGCGCTTTTCGCGGTGACGATTTAGAGGCAGTTGTATGTAAGCCTATTCGAAACACTTTGTGATTTGCAGGGCTTCTCTGAGAGGGCGAAACAGACGGTAATTGCCATTTGAAACGATCTGGACTCTGAACGCTCTCTTAATCTTTTGTCGATCGCGGCGAGTTCTTTACCAAATTAAATAACTCGTCTGAAATATATGTCGTACTTTCTGCCCACAAGAATTGCACACACGATCTGATAAGTCAGACAATTTATTTATAACAATGGCGACAGAAGCACACATTAATGCTAATTTGGTCACACGATTTGAAGTTTGAGATTGACGCGCGAATGGGGCGTGTTATGAAAAGGGAAGTTTTACAAAACAGGGTCTTCCTTGCAGGTCCACTATATTCTTCCCTCGGTGGGCCTGCACGCCAGATTAAGACATTTCGTTCCTATTCTTACCATTATTAGTATTTATCAATCCTTGATTCTACCTTATATAACATATACGGGATTGCTATTTGGGATCAAGCTAGCTTCCCAAATCCATTTAAACAGGATACTCGCTCTTCAGAAACGTGCTTTGCGTTTGATGTATATTTCAAACGGAAAACTGAACATGCTGTCCTTCTTAATTATGTCAAATATTCTTCCTATAAGTCTGCTGTATTATAAAACTGTTTCTAATTTAGCCTAATGTACGATATCTCAAATAGAAGTATACCTGGGAGTATTTCTGAAAACTTTGTGCAGTCAAATGAAATACATATAATAATACTATAGACATAGTGCATCATGCATGTAATTTCTGTATAACAATGTTATCATCACGAACAAAATAATAAAAAACTTTACCAAAATTTATCATTTACCAAAATTGTAGCCCAAATATATAAGCATTCCTGTCGAATTACGACAATTCGGGAAAACGAAATTTAAGCTGCAGGAAATAAAGAGACTGTTACTTCTGACTATCGTGAGAGTAGTGAGGAATATGTTTATGTTAATTGTTACCCAGTGTTAATTCAATCAATGGCAAAATACATATAATATTACAAAATTCTTTTATAAAAATAATATATTTTGATGAATACAATAATTATCTTTGAAATTTTCTAATATTTCTACTATTTCTTTTCTTACCATTCATGAATGAATCGAATCTATGAGAGAATTATATCTGCGTTGATTATAGCAAATGTTATATTTGCATGCAGAAAGTTTATACCATGTAATTATCCAATTTGATGAAATAAATTATTGTTATTGTTGTTGTTGTTGTTGTTAAGGTGTTTTTTGGGTTTGATAGATGATCATGAATGGCAGTGAGTTGTCCTTAATATTTCTTCCTTGTCCACACTTAAATTTGTGTCATACGTTCGGCGCAAAGTTTCTTGATATTGAACCAGCCCAACGACCACCATGCATGCCTTTTCCAATCACTCTATTGTTCTTACGTAATCTAATGAAGCTAAGATGACTCCCGCAGCATTCCCTGTCTTGCAGGTAACCTATACCTAGTATTTTACCTAATTGGTTGATATCTGAATAATGTGTGCATGTACAAGTTTATTTTACCGTGCATGAGTTATCAGATGAGTTATCACTTACCTAAAGGTTTTGAGGCTGCGTCAGTGAGGTTCAAAAAATAGACAACAATCAGAACAGCGAAAATAGCAAGATATCCCTTCATATTTTGGTAAATATATGGCTGGAAAATAAGTTCATAAAATACGTTGAACTATAGTAACTATATGTTCCGCATCTTAAGCTATGGGGTTAAACAAATGCATGTAAATGTACGAGAGTTGGCATACGACCATCGTGCTTTCCTAAAAATATCATTTAAGCCTGGTTCACACTAGCAATTTGGTCGGCGATTTTTCTCCACCTGGCAAATGTGATCGACTGAATGACATGCAAAAGACTTAGAATTGTTTACTTCTGAAAAGCGACTTGAGATCAATCTGTACTTTTGTGTGCATGCATGCACGAGTTCACTCATTTGCATCCGTCAGAAACACAAAATCGCCAAACCAGACTTTAATCTATTTCAGCAATTCAGTTAAAACATGCATATAGTTTGTAGAGCCCGATTGAAATGTCCCTGTAACAATCCGCGCTATACCTGCTAACTCTCATCCCCGTTTGACGGGCTTTTATATCTTGATGATATACGAAAGTAAAGCGAGATGCCACACTTATTTTAATATGTATATATACATGTAAATATAATAAACAATTGGTATAGCTTTTAGAACTTCTCAAAATTTAAGTTCTTTGTAGGATTGCATGGCGATAAAACACATAATATATAGCCTAATTACCTAATACTTTTTGTTTGTGGAAATACTACGTAAAAATTTCTCAAAATTTACATTCAATTTCTATATTGAACAAAAATCATACCTTTTGTACAGACGTCTTTTTGCTTCAATTTAACTTGCCACAATGTGGTAAAGGTGGATAGAAAGCTCTTTTATAGTGAGAGAGGAATCTAATCAACCAGGGGATGTTATACAAGAGGGGATGTTTGTTTTTTTAATTTTAAAAATAGTAAGCCCTTTAAATTTGTGTTCCGGTGACGTTATAACTATAGCAAAATTAATTAAAGTTAATTTAAGTGATCATAAGCATGCATGTTATTTTGACTGGACATGAAAGCAATAACCACAACTGTTATATACACAGTTGATCCAAACAATAATTTGTCATGAGGATTAGAACATTCCTGCATTCCTTTTACCTATATATATGTAGGCAATTACTCATATAACTATATTGTTTCCTTTTTCGCATGCTGCTCACAAGTCTAAAATATGTATACCGGGTGGCCCAAAAAAAAGTACTCCTGTTTGATTCGTAATAACTTCTAAACAAGTAAAGTTTTTAAAGAGAAATAACTTGCATTAAATAGAGGAAGGACTAACTTAGATTTTGATATATTACAGTTGTATTTAACTTAAAAATTCACGGAGATATTAATGTTAAAAATGGGGAGCATATTTTGGAATGTGTCTAAAATTAGCGAAAATCGGCATATCAAATATTAACTCCAGCGTTTGTTTGCTTAATGACATATTAGGCTAACTTGTATTTCAGCGAATTATCGTTAAGGTTTGTAAGGGATATGGCGTAGATTTAGACATCTTACATGTAAGTCTTAGCTCATTGTTTCCTGAAATATGAGCGTTCGAAATTATGCAAGTATTTAATATTAGGTCTTTGCAAACTTAAATGTACATGAAAGACTGACCATGGAAGGCAGGCGCTTAAATTTTTCGTATTCTTAAATAGCCTAATTTGTTTATGTTTTTAATGGGTTCAAACAGACTGAGTAGATTATTTCTCGGTTAGAGCAGGATGAATATTCTTTATTGAAGGAAATAATATTGCTTTTTGCAAATACACATCACCGTATCAACGCTACTATTTTGTTACGTTTTGTTCCAAAAATGTTGCATGTCTCTGGGGAGTTGCTTAATTGTTATGTCTTATGGAGTTGTATGGTTTGATTGTGTTTCATATAATTCTCAGTTTACTCCATGAACTTGCCAAGATTAAGAAACGGCAAAAGAGTTTGGGTGTTCTTAACAAGATTTCAGAACGTTGCAGAAGTTAGAAGAGCTTCACAATTCCGTTGTGACAGCATGCCCTAATTCAGAACTACGAACGATCCAATGACGATCCTTCGCGATGCAGTGGTCTCATGAAATAAGGAAACGTATTCGTGCTAGGAACACACGCGAATTTCGGACGAATGAATCTTGCTTGTATTTTGTAGATATAATAATACTTTGTTTCATAATAAACAATTTGTCAAGTGTCATTTATTTACTGGTAATAGTGCATGTTTCAGTCGGGCAAATCTTGATTAATATTTGATACGCCGATTTTTGCATATTTCAGACACATCCAGAAATATCCTCCCGAATTTAAAGATTAATATCTCCGTGAATTTTTAAGTGAAATACAACTGTAATATATCAAAGTCTAAGTTAGTCCTTCCTCTATTTGATGCAAGTTATTTCTCTTTAAAAGCTATACTTGTTTAGATGTTATTACGAATCAAACAGGAGTACTTTTTTTTGGGCCACCCGGTATATATATATATATATATATATATATATATATATATATATATATATATATATATATATATATATATATATATATATATATATATATATATATATATATATATATATATATATAAATTTCGCTCAAAAATCAGCAAAAGCCGCCTTTCAACAGTTATGTTCTATCGAAATAGATGCTGAAAAATCAGCGTATATAGCTACACTCTAAGGGGAGATAACTCGCCCTAATTCGCGGTCGCCCGAAGATAATACGATTTATAAATTAAAATTCATGATATTGTACCAGTTGCAATTCATACACCCAATAATGTCTGTTTGAAAATAATGTTTGACGAATAAATTAGTCTATATGTTAGTATAAGACGAACAAGTATATATAGACGCTCCTGGAAAGTGGGGTCTATTATACGTAGGCCCTATAGTTTGACGATTTCGTAGCCTGCACGTCCTTGGCCGCGTAGCACATGCATAAACTACTAACTGACTATTTATGACTCAACGAAATTGAAACTTTTAAATATGTTTGAAGCGAAACCAGGATTATTCATAATAAGTTTTTAGACGTTCTCTGGTTTTTAAATATTTATGATTACGAGCTTTCGACTGCCAGTCTGCAGTCAAAAACCAGAGAACGTCTAAAAACTTATTATGAAATTGAAACTATCAGTTTTAAACTGTTCTGTTTGGAGGTCTATATGGTGTGTATAGTTGCGTCAAGAACTTTCAAGAAACTCTCATATACGTCACACTAATTAGGAAAAGTATATTTGTGCCACAAATGAGGTCCTGAATGGACATGCATGCATGTTCACGTAATTCGGACCTGAATTCAAATAACTCTGCAAAACCCCAGATCATTAGCTGACTATATATATACGTCTGCACTGTCTTAGTCGTATAAAGACAAACTTGAAGACAAACTTGAATTACTTCATATGAACTTTATTTATTTTTATTTATCAGTTTATTTTTATTAGTGATTAGAAATAAAGTTCATATGAAGTAATTCAAGTTGTCTTCTAATCTTGTCTTCCATGCAGGTGCGAAAATTTCCTTTGTCTAATATATATACTAAGGCTAATTAATCACTTTCTGGAAGGTTACATGTATTGGCCTGGACACCGCAACTCTTATCTATATTCATCCGGTTTTCAAGTTGTTGCCTCTTCGCTTGCATGTTTATAGCCTATTTCCCCTCTCTGGGTGTTTCTATGTATCTTTGTTTTCTGCATGGTTTTCTTCATGATTTTCATGTTCGACTGATAAAATCGTAAATTCTGCGCATGTGTAAACTAACACATATCCACTATAATAATATATATAGACTGATATATAACAATTGAAAAGAGAGGCGTAAGAGGAAACAAACATATATATCCGACATGACCACAGAACGTTTATGTTTGCTAAATCCGTGTTAATGTTACAGCTGCATGCCTGAGTTGATGTGGTTTATAGTGGGTAACAGTTTGATATTTAAAGAGGAGTCTCTTTTGTATATATACAGCTGTTTCAATCAAGGTTGTCCCCCGAGCAAAGCGGAAAAGTCGAATACGAGCGCGAAAGGCTGCTGGGAATCGCTAATAAATGAATGAATTTATTAACGATTCCCAGCAGCTTTTCGCGCTCGTATTCGACTTTTCTGCTTTGCTCGCGGGGGACAACTTTAATTGAAATAGCTGTATACACAGGATATACGCACTTAAAACTAATGAATATACTTTTCAACTTAGCTATATATGACCATGTTCAATTTTTGTAATTGTTATACGGTTCTCAAGCAGCATGCAAACAAACTTAAAAAGTATATGTATATGGTGCTTTCTCTATAAAATTATGCTAAAATGAAGAGAGATGGTACGCTGATGTCTGCATGAAGTTCAGTATAATTGTATTTAAATTGACAATATTTATAACTATTATTTCGTGTTTCTCACCCGCCAGATTTAAAAAGGTTGCTAGAGAAATGCCAAAACGATTTCATTATATAGATTTTTCTAAAAAACACTTTTCATCGCAAATACGCGTCAATGAAAAAAAGTGCTTCTCAGATGTCGTATATAAGGGTGGCTCTTTCCCTATAAGAACAAACGTGGAATTTAGTATACTTATAGGGTACATATGTAGTTCTTCATGTGTGTTCTACTGTTCTACAAAACCCGCAAAATATGTCTCTTCTATTAATTCTAGGGATACATGCATGTGAGGTATGTATATATACATATAATGTATATGCATGCTCGCTTTACATAGACGAACTTCATCCATTTCTATATACATGAAGCGATTTGTATATAAATGGAATTTTCGAGTGGACAATTCCACTCGAAAATTCCATCCATCTGACCAATTCCTTCAATAACTGGTTATATCGAGTGAGATGCCCAAAATACCGTTTTTACATGAGTTATCAGTCAACAATTTTTCCACTTTCGATTGATAAAAGTTGGTCTTTGTCTTATTATATAGCCAAGGGCTAATCACTTTCTAGAAGGGTGTGTATCGGCCTGGAAGCCGCAACATATATATACTCATCCGGTTTTAAGTCGTCGTCTCTTCGTCGCTTGTTGTTTCCTCTCTCTGCATGGACCTCTTGTGTATCTTTGTTTTAATTCTGTGTAGGGGTTTCATAATCTCTTTATAGTTCGATAAAGTCATCAATTCTTGAACGTGTATATATACCGAACCACATGCACTCGCGACTATGGACAAGCGCGCCAGTAATTGCGACACGCACGCGAAAAGAATCGAGGTGTAAGAGGAAATGATATCATCATATATCACGATGACCACAGAACATTTAGTTGCATCTGTGTCAATGTTACAGCTGATTTTATTGCTCACTAACTTTCTCTAACATATACGTAATAGACTCACTGGTCATCAACTAGCTAATTCAGCTAACTGGAAAACGTAGCACTCTGCTTAGAAAAGCAGCCAAATTTGTTTTTCTTCATGACAACTCCTGCAAGGTTTTCGGTTTTTAATTTTCGCCGAACACTATAGTCGTGTGACATAAGGTGCGACGTTCAGTGGTCAGGTCCTGAATGGACATGTTCATCAGTTCATGTAATTCGGAGCTGAATTCAAGTACTGTAACTCAAACCCCTAGATCATTAGCTCGCTATATAGGTCTGTACTTAACCATCCACATAGACAGCCTAGACCTAGGCCTTCTATTTTTATTATTTTTTAAATATTCAGCGCTTTTTCACATGAAAAGACTGGGACTAGGTGATTTGGGGGCGGGGCGGAGGATGCGCAAGCGAAAAAATAGAAGGCCTAGTGGATTTCCCAACAACAAGGCCAAAACTGCCCTGAAACTGCCCTGGTTGCGAAATGCCCAATTATTGCGTTCTCAAACAGAATTATTTGCAACTTAACAGCGAATTTAAACCGATAAAGGTAAA